ACTTGTAGCAATTGGTAAGTCACATATCGAAGCATATTTTACACAGATTTCAAAGAAGCTTGAATCGAATGAAATGCAACGAAATGACTACAGAGAATTTGCTGCATTTTCATTTGTTGTTTTTTGTGCACAACCTTCGCCACAATTGAATTCTACTGCTTTTGGTGCATATTGTAAAATATTTTGTGATACACTTGACTATCCACAATATGTTGTTCATGAAGCTGCTGCTAGAATTATAACAATGTGTCGATTGGCCATCCATTCTAATGATGAAGCCTTTTTAGCGACTGTCCGATCATCAAAAGCCATTTTCAATCAAGTTAATAGCGAAAAATGGAGATTTTGGCTGGCACATTTGGTTGAACTTGCAAATACTCCTTGGTTTTGTGATATGGTATTTGACATGCTTAAAGAAATGCCTTATCGCTCGTTATTGTATTCAAAAAGAGGAAAATCTCTAAGTTTGTCTGATGCTTTATTGAAAGTTATTCACGAAAAACCAAGTTCTCAGATTTCGATGATGAAAATTTGTGAAAACTTTTTCAACTCTTTATTTGAAATAGACTTTCAAGAAAAAGAAACACAATCCAGAATTGTTCGATTTGCCGTCGAACTAGGCAAACTAGATATAAAGACAATTATAAATCTTGACATTATGAGTGAAAGACAAAAAATTCCAAATAATCCATTCCAACGATCTCTTCAAAAATTGACTCTTAATCAAATTAATTTATTAGGCGATATTCAATCTTTTGCGTACGAAGTTAAAAATCGAACATATGAGCAAATAATTGAATTCGTTCAATCAATCACCAATTCAAAACATTCACTTACAGAAATTCAATCGAAGATTGGGCATAGTGTTCATGCTGTGAATGAAAACTTGCCATTCATTTTCCCATTAAGATTGGAGAAACCGTTACAAATTAGCATTAATCAAATTTCCGAAGATTTTACAGCCCTAACGAAGGATATAATTGTCATTAAAATGATCTCAAACATACATCAATGGCAGCACTACATCATCCAACGATCAACGAACACAAATGGTTATAATAAAAGTGTTATCACGCTTGCCAACACTATGTTCTTGATCAAGCTGATGCTACAAAGACAATATTCGGCTAGGAGAAGGAATCTGTTGATCTTTCCAAGCCAGTTTTTCGAAATTGGAGAAAATTTAATTTTAATTCCGGTCATTTCTGAACCGCAGACGATGGAACTTCTATTCCAAGAATCAGAAATGATGACATCAGCAGAGTGGATTTCCAAATATGCTGTTCCATCAAATGATTTTAATGACTTTAATACTTTTAACGATAGCAATGAAAACAACAAAGATGAAAAATTAATGAAGTTTGTCTTAAATGAAGAAGGAATTGAACAAATTAATAGATTATCAACACATTATTTCATTAAGAAATATTCCAATGAAATTAGTGCAGACATCATGATGCGAATGCGTCCAATTTTAGCTAATTCGATGATCGTTTCTGGACTTTTTAGGCAAATTTTTAATGCAAAGTATCCAACACTTCAGACATGCGTCTTTTGTCCCCAGACTGCTGTTGTTCCTTTAATGCATTCGGATTATGATTATAATAAAATCACAGACACAGACTCCCAAGTCGCCTCTTCATTCAGGCTGAGTCCAAACATGGTAAATGTTCATGGACCGGCATTGAAAGGAAGGTGCGTGGTGACAATGGCTGTCATGAGCAAAGCATTAACGGAAAACATTGAAAGCATGCGAAGTTACATCGAAGCACTCATTGGAGACGAAGACTTTACTGCAGGAAGAGTTCGAGAGATCTCAGAAATGATTGAAACTCGAAGTAAGATCGAAAAGAGGTTTTTAGACTTTTGCCCGCCAACTGGAAGTGGGGTTGGACCAGAAATTGCAGAAGAATGGATTGAAAAAATTGAAACGTTTTTAGACATTGCAATGAATCCAGATTTGCATCCGGTTGAAGCCATTCCATGGTATTGATCATACTATAATTTTGTTTTATATTAAAAATTACCATTGAATTTTTTCCACTTTTTCTTATATTGCATTTGAGTTTTACTTAGTCACATAGAAACAGATATACCAGTTCGAAAACTTTAGATTTAAAATACAATACATCTCATTATTTTTTGGTGTGCCTATCCTAAATATTCATGATTTATTTTACAAAATACAATCTGTATTTTTATGGAAGCATTATCCAAGATACAATATTGCAAAATTTTGATATAAAAAGTATGATATTCAAGTATGAATGATTCTTAAGATTGTCATATCTTATGTTAATTATGAGCCTAATATTTTGATTCAAAATATTAAGAACTACAAAAAATATGATTTATAATAAGAGATAAAAATAAAGAATTAATGTTAAATATATATAGTTTTATAATATATTACAATACAAACTCGCTCTATAAGCATTTTTTCCTGCTATAGATTATCTTTATTTTTTTTGATCAAGATCATCAGCTATAGATTTTTCATTCTCTTTTGTTACATTTTCGTCTAGTGTTACTTTACATTTTCTTGTGTAGTTATACATATTTTTATATTTTCTGACTTTTTCTGCCCATTGTCTGTCAATCTGTTCATTCAAATTTTGGGAAAGTAATTTTCCTGGTTTGAATAAAAAGAAAGCTGATTCATTTCCAAGAAAAATGTCTGAAAGCTCAAAAATAACACCATTAGTTGGAGCTCGAATTTTTTTAAATTCTTCATTCGATAAAACATTTCCTTGAATTGGGCAAATCGGCAACATTTCTTTGATCCACGACAAAATTGTGAAATAATGATCATTGATTTCAATTTTTCTGTGTCTTAGTTCATAAAAAACGCAATCGATTTCAAAAGCACGCATAAACATTTCTTTCTGTTTCTTTCTTTGTGATTTTTCATTCATTTTCTGAGACAAATTCAAATAATTCCTCGTTGATTTATTCAAAGAGTTGTTTAGTGATTTATTAAATGAGTTATTTAGTAATTCATGAAAAGAGCTATTAAATGATCTATTAAGTGAGGTATTTGGGGTAACATTCAGTGAAAAATTTTTAAGTTTATTAAATTCTTGATATATTAATTTCATTTCGTTATTCAAGTGTTTGATTATGGATAGAAATTCATTACTTAATTGAATAGATACAGGTGGCTCGATTAAAGCAATTGGAAACAACATTTCTAAAACAGTAATTCCACTTTTGGTTTCATATTGAGATATTCCATGTTTTGCAAGAATTTTATCATCGATATCTATGATTTCTAAATTACACAAAATTTGTTGTTTTTCTGTAGTAATTTTATTCATATCATATTTGAAACGATGGTTCCAAAAAATTTTTAAAGCTGCAATCATTTGTGGAGTTATTTCATTGACATCAAATTCAAAAAACTTAGCAAAATCGTCTACCAAAGAAGGTGGATTCAAATTCAAAGATTTTATTGTCCCATCTTCATTTGTGTCATTTAAAATAAAATTCAGTAAATCAAAAGATTCTTTTGAGATTATTGAATATTTATCCGAAAAAACACCACATGTTAATAAATATAATAAAATATCTTCATCTTCATTTAATTTCTGAAGAATTGTTGAATCAAACGAAAAAGCAAGTCTAATTGATGATAAAAGAAAATAAATCAAATTTTTCATTTCTTCAAAACTCATTTTTTCCTTCTTTAGATCCAATTCATTATTGATATTTTTAAATATCTTTTTACTCGGATCTTCACTTCGGTTCTCTTTTTTGTTTTCATGTAAGCTGTAATATGAAAGGTTTCTTTTTACATTATGAATAAATTTGTCCTTTTTTGTTTGGTTTGGATATTTTAAATTTAAATTTATTTTTAAATTTTGATAAAATGGAATCTTTTCTTTTTTGTAATTCAGTGAATGATTTTCTAGTTTTTTTAAGCCTTTTTTAAATGAAAAAAATTCTTCATCACTTCTTCTGTCATTTTTAGATTTAGTTGCCAGCTGTCTTAAGTCATATAAATTTAAGGCGACGATAGCTGCAAAATGGAGAATTTTTTTTATTGCATTTGGAAACAAAGAAATGAATTCAGATAATAAATTTGAAAGAAATTCTCGAAAAGGAAGAAATTTGCAATTGTGAATCACAAAATCTAGAAATTTTTCTTTTGAAAACGAATCTTCAAATAAATATTCTTGAACTAGTTCATTCTTTATAATTGGCATGGATTTATTCGAACGAAGTGACTGAGAAAATTGATTTCCTTGTTCAAAATTTGAAAATTTTCGAATTAAAATTGGTTTGTTAAAAATGTCAGAATCATTTGAATCTTGTAAGTCTTCTTCACCATCACTTGGACAAATTACACTTGTTTTATTTAAAAGGATTCCATTAGCTAAAAGTATATGTGGATGTGATCGGAGATAAGCTTCAAATATTCGACAAAAGTGGCCAATAAACATAGAATTTTGATTGTTTTTCGAATCATTCATGAAATTTCTAAGTTTGAGAAAAAGACGCCTTTTTTTATCGGAAACAACAAGCTCTTGAAATTTTCGAGATGGATAACACAAAACATTTGAAGCATTTCTGTTGAGTTGAAATAAAACATGATGTGTTGGATTTTTATGAGATGATAATGCTAATTCTATTAATAAATCAAAATTAGGAAGATTTAGTTCTTCTTTTTTCATTTCTTCTGGAGGGAAGAAAAAATCTAAAAAGCTTGGTGCTTCATTTCGAAGCGTAGTTAACAATTGCTCATGCTTTAGCACATCATATAGTGAGGGGCTTCTGGTTTTAATCATAAGAGTCAAATCATTTTGGTACTCAGTGCGAACAGGAGAAGAATTTTTAACAAACATAAAAATGGAATAGAAATTGGGTTATTTAAAAAATATAAAATATTTTACCATGATTATCACCACAAAATGAGCAAAATGTAATCACAAGGGGCAGAATTCACTCGATATTTTGGACATGTTTTTTCTCTTGAGGAATTTCTTTTGATGTTAGCAGCGCCGCTCTTAGCTCAGTGGTAGAGCATGTGACTGTAGAATTACGGTTGGTTATCACAGGGTCGCCGGTTCGATTCCAGCAGCGCGGAATTTTTTTTTTTTTTTAACTCATTTTACGAATTGGAGTTCTTATGACTGACAATAATTTTTAATTGGTACCTTAATAATGATACTCTATTCGTCCTTCATATCTTTACTTTCTCAGTAGCAGTAAGTCTGTGAATTGGCCACGATAATTTCGATGCTGTCACTTTAATTTCCATATTTTATTTTGATGATTAAAAACATCACAAAATATGTAACGCTGATCAATGATAAAAATCGGCCCACTATTAAATAAAAGCCCTTTAATGATAACATCAAAATTATTGAATTTATTATAAAAGGTATTGAAAAAGTTAAATTCTTTCAGAAAAAACTCAAAATTTTCAATCCGCGTTTGTCATTTATCATGTTTTTTCCTTTTGAAATGTACCTCTGTCTTCAAGAAGACAATGAAAAGCATTTGATGGATTGTATATCACATAATTTGAATATTGATATGATTTTCCCTCGAGATTGGAAAGGTGAAAATGAAATTCTTTCCCATAGGCCATCATTATTAGGAATGGCTGCTTTTTATTGTGCTATTAAATGTTTTAGATTATTAATTGCCAATGGTGCCACTATTACTACTAAAGATGAAGCTTCAACATCAATTGCATCATTTTCTGCAGCAGGAGGATCAATAGATATTTTAACTATATTAAATGAATTTGATGTAGACTTCTCTAATTCACTTAGGTATGCAGCCATGTATGGAAAAACTGAGGCTTTCTTTTGGATTTATAATAATCGATTTAATCAAAGAGAACTTTTTCAAACCATCGTGCTTGTAAAGGAGGTCACTTCGATGTTGTAAAAAAATTATGTGAATTTCCTCGGATAAATATTAATTCAAAAGATACGTATATGGTAACACCATTACATTTAGCTGTACAATCTGATTCATCAGATATAATTACTTATCTTTTATCATTACCAAATATTCTTAAATTACCAGAAGATATTGTTTCTTCTTTCATTTCTTTATTGTGTTTCATTTTTCAAATTTTAAAAAGTTTTGATGATGATTTTATACAACACCTTTCCACATAGCTGCATCGTTTGGAACAATTACAACCATTCGAATATTTGCGAACTTCCCAAACATTAACATCAATTCAAAAAATAATATTGGAATTTAATATGATTTCTGATTATACTGCCCTTCATATGGCAACACATAGAGGAAGACCAGAAATTGTGTGTATTTTATTATCACTTGATGGAATAGACATTAATTCCCAAGATGAAAAAATGATGACACCATTACATATTGCAGCAAATAAGGGAAAGTTTGAAGTATTGAAATTACTTTTAGACGATCCAAATATTAATGTTAACTTACAAAATAGTGATGGCATTATATAAATCAAATTATCGAACACCATTGCATTTAGCAGTAATAAAAAATGATGAAAAATGTGTAAATGCTCTTCTATCATATAGTGCAATTAATGTCACAATTAAAGATCATAACGGCATTTTTTAAAATATATTTTATAAATCACCAATTGATTACACTTCATCGAAAATAATACATGATAAAATTTATGAAAAAAGACTAGAGCAATCATCTTGTAATATTGCATAGACGATGAAAACTCACATGAGAAAATCGAAATGATTTCATAAATCGCACGAAATTGACCATTAATAAACTTTTTCAAAGTAATTATTCATTTGCTCTCATTCATCACTTTGATGTCGAATTTGAAAAGTAAAAAAAGTTTTCAAACATTTCACTATGAATAACTTGATTAAACATATTTTTGTCTCAAAATTCCACCCACAACTTCCCGTGTTTCATCCAGTTAATACTTTTTTGTCATGATTTTTTTTCCTATTCTTGTTGAGGGAAAAATGGATAAATGTGATGTGACATTGTGGGCCTCTACGACTCATTCGGTCATTGGAGGAGGTGCTGCGAGTGAACTAAGCTCCAGTTCATTGTGCTCCCTCTGCCACTTTCAACTCGCCACGCCTCATCCAATGACCGAAGTGACCCAAAGAACAAGCAAAGTTCACATAACATTAGCTAATTATGCTTCCCTCACTTTTGACCTTTATTTGACCTTGATTTTACATTTTGCCAATCACATAATAAATGGGATTACTTTTTTTAAAGTACATACTCCTCTGTTGATGAAAATGATGAGCTAACTCGTTCATCCTAACCTCGATAGGGTATTAATAAAAGAGGTAGCTCAATTAACCAAAAGGAATTTGTAAATATTTAGTTTTCTCACCAATAGAAATTTCTATATAATAAGAAAAAGAAGATTATTTCAATTTTGAATAATATAGATTTTTTTGTATATATTCAATTGCGTCTTTAAAGATTTTGCATGAAATTCCCAGAGTTGAAAATCCACTCAAATATTTTTTTTTCACAATTCAATTTGAGATACCATATACAAAAAGTAGAAATACACAACAATCATTATTTTTCCTCTGCGAATAAATATGTCTTCCTCCTATCAAGAATGGTACATCTGAAAAAATATCAAAACTGGGAATAAAATATTTTTTGTAAATTAAATCAATTTTTGAGGAGTTGAGTGAAATGAAGTAAAACACTATCATTGAAAAAAACTACGAAAAAAAAGAAAAATTGAAAGAAATATAACTAAGATTTAAAAATAATAGAAAAAAAGAACTGAAAATTTATGAAAATGAATACTCATTGAAATTGATGTTTTCAAAAGTGGAGAAACAACAATTTATTTTGGGGAATCTGGATGAGCATATCCGGGGTCGCAAGAGAAGCTCCCCGACAGATTTCAACAGGACAATTCGGCACGACTTTTCTCGAGTTTGATATCATCACAGGAAATCGATACATTGTCAAATATATCGAAAAAGATCTCCTCGATAAATATTCTTTGCAGCCAACCTTTCACAAATACATTCAATCGGTTCAAAACATATCGTCGCCTTTTATCCAGCACTTCAATGAAATCACGGAAACAGAAAATCAAATTATCCTAAAGCGATTATTTATCACCGGTCTTAATCTTTACGATTATGTTGCTCAAATGTGCCAAATTGGAGATGTTAACATCCTTTATGTCTTCTGGAAAGTTGTTGTTCGCACTTTTCAGCATCTTCATCGATATTGCGTTTATCCAAATTTTATAAAGCCATCGAATATTTTCGTAATTAGCGGCAATAAAATCGTCATTACTGATCTTTACCAGCAGCCAAACAGCTTTACTGCAAGTAACAAAAATATCAAAATGAACGAACTTGCTTTTTTTCCACCAGAATTCATTACCGGAAACTACACTCTTGGAGCTGAAAGTGATTTTTGGTTTTTGGGTGTTTTACTCTATTTTATGGTGTCAGGAAAAATTCCATGGCACACCAAAAACATCATGCATATGAGCAGTCAAATCACTAAAGGTGATATAAGTAGTATTGAAGAAGATGAAGAAATTGAAAATGATGTTAAAGTCATTATCTCGAAAATATTAAAAATAGAACCTTTCGAACGTATTACTGCTGATGATATACTCAATAATAAAAATCCAGGAGTTCATGTCCATGGGCGTCATCATCATCATCATCACAGATCTCAAATTCATGGTTGTGGTAATCAAATTCAACCCGGATTAGTGATAAATGTTAACAGAGAAGGTGTAAGTCGCGCGCCACATGGATATTCACCAGGCTGTTCGACAAGAAGTAGCATCAAAACATCAGGAATATCCAATTTGACAACTTCAGTAGGATCCTTCAATGACACAACACTTCAGAAGGCGGGAATGACAGTAACAAGGGCTATGGTAAAGGTAAAACTCCAGTATGCACTACCACTACAACAGACAGCCATGAGAAGCCAAATTTTGCTGTCTTAGATTTATTCAGTTTTTTTGTTTGTTTGTTTGAATTTTATTTTTTATTTTGTCTTTTGTATTTAAAAATTATATAGATATATTTTTTACTATTATGGCTTTTTCCAATTATGGAAGTTTTGATCTATAAATTAATGTATGTCCAAATATTTCAATAAGAATTTTACATTGGTTTAATGTATAAGCGTTTCAATGCATGATTGTTTTAGCGTTTTGTGTTCACTTTCCAATGTGAAGACATATTGGATAAAAAATATTTTTTAGGAGAAAATATATTAAAAACACATTACTTTGAAAGGCATAATGACGTTATATTTTAGTAATTACAAGACATTAAAAAAACAATTTCGTGATAAGTTGTCACAAATCAATCTTTTGTTACAGTCTCTATGTTGCTTGCGGGTTGTGGAATTGGCCATTTCTGAATAGAGGAATCATCAAAGATCGCCAAAACTGTATCAATTGGTCCATCAATCTTAGAATTGTAGCATTTAAGTGATGATACTTTCTTACTAATTTTGGTTATTGTGGAAAATATCACTTTAAGTCCCTCACAGAAACAAATCAGTAATCGTGAATTTGTTGAAATAACAAATCTATCATCATCAATTACTGCAAATCCAGTAATATTTCCTTTATCATGTGGAATTCTCTTTGTTGATTGATCTCGTGAAATATACCACACATTTCTGGAGAATGCAACAAAGAGTCCACGTGAAGCAGCGCCATAGTATCTTGGTGGATTAGATATCTCAACAGTATCAAGTTTGTGACCACGCATATCAAAAACAGAAATAAATTTAGTACAAATTACATAAACAGTTTCATCAACAGCTGCAATTGCAAGAGGTTCATCAATATCTATAATAGATTGATGATCAACTGTAATGTCACGATGGAAATATAATATAATTAATTCATTTCTTATTGTTAATGCAAAGAATCTATTTCCACTGCTGCAAACACCAATTACTCTGATTGGAATCTTTGCAATTAATTTCCTTTGAACGAAATTATAAATTCCTAGAGATTGGCTTGTAGCAAGTGCCAAAAGACCTGATCCAAAAGATGCAAAGTTGGCTGCTGGAAAACTAGGAAGTTTAATCCATTGGATGTTGTCTGCAGTTACAAGTCCAGTTGCTTCTCCCCAT